AAAGAGTACTCGTACATAACAGTGATGACAAACATACTGGGAAAAGGTAAAATCATGCCTACAAAGAACAAATTTGCACTATGAGATCACACAGATCAATAAAGACTTATTTTGTTTCTAAATGAATCTTGCATGTATGAAATATATGTTGAAAACTTATTGATATTAGCAATTATGAAAAATATTACTTGTACATAACAATGATGACACAATGACAAAATGTATTGGAAAAAGGCATATCATGCCAACAAAGAACAAATGTGTACTTTTGAGTTAGACAGATAAACAAGGACATGTTTGTCTATTTGTTTGAGTAAAAAGAGCACACATGACTTAAATAATGTTTGCTCTTAGGACAATGTAATTTCTAGTACGTCGGTCAGTCTTGTACGGCTGCATGACGACACCCCAAACGTCATCACTAAGCACAAAAGCTAAATCTATAACCACACAAATGATCCATCTCTCGAAGTTTGTTCACACATCACACTCTTGTTCCAGGAATCCAATGTAAACACCACAATTTCACTAAAATATTCAATAGGGTAGCCTAAAAACACGCAAAACAGCCCAGTACGTCACATTCAACGCAAGATTCTTGTGCGTAACCGGAGGGTGATGGCAATGACTACTTTCGTTTTTCTCTTTACCCCGTTGCTCCCGGGGAAGCGGGTAAGGGGAAGTCACTAAAGAAAACAATTATATCCGGGCACTGTTGATGATCCGTTCAAAACAAAAGTAGGCTAAAATTCGGATTCCGGTACGTCGCAATGTGACGCCATTAACGGCGAATGTTAAACAGCCGACCGAAATCGTAGATCTAGGAACCCGATGTTCCTTTCGCGCATCGCGGCTTTTGAACTATTGAATAAACGACGAAAAGCAAAAAGATTTAACCAGCTGTGGTGATTCTACTGAAAAATAATGGTGTTTTCTGAAACACCTAGTCCGTGACGACACCCCTGACGCACAAGTGATCCGAATTATTTGTTTATTTGCAAACAAATGAACCGATTTCTTGAGCAAGTGAACCTTTCTCGATCACAAATAGCATAGAATCAAAGCACAGGTTAAAAAAAAACACCCAAAAATACTAAATTTTTGACATTCTTGGAAGTTTGCATTGGTGTGCTCAAAATGACACTCCAGGAATCACTAAAAAACGGACATTTTTGGCACAAAATTTACAAACGCAAGATTATAAAGCTGACATAGGGTCTGAAACTGCTAATGCAGGTTCTACATCCTATATTTGACATGTGTATAAGTTTTGGAGGAATAAATACTAATGCATCACATTTTATGCACACAATTGTGAGATGTGTGTGTTTTTCCCCACGTTTTGGCAATGGCTCATATATATATATATATATATATATATGTATATATATATATATATATATATATATATATATATATATATATATACTTGAAAACAATTGAATTGCAAGGGTTTTAGAAGCTATGTGTTCTTCAGCAAAAATTATAGCAGTTTAGCCCTCAAAACAGTGCATTTGGGTGTGGATGCAAAAGTAAAAATTTACCACATATTCCGTTTTTTTTAATCTGTATCGTAATTTTCCATATCCCATATGCCAACTTTAATTCTGTAAGAGTGCTCAGCTGGATTGAACTTTGGTGGACCCACCGTGTTTACATACATGTATTAATGCGCACTAGCTATAAAAACAGTGGGGGGTTTCAGTGGGGCTTGCACCCCTGGTAACAATAATGATTTTAAAAAACCACACATAAATGCAAAAGGCTGGATTGAACTTCGGTGGACCCACTGTGTTTACATGTATTTATGCGCATTAGCTATCTCTCTCTCTCTCTCTTCTGGCGCTGTGGCTTCATGAACGGTTAGCGATGCCAACAGCACGCAGGAACTCAACACTGGGGTCCTTAAAAAGTGCTGAAAGAGGGTTACTGAAATGTCCCAGCAGACGGTTTCTGGCACAATAGCTGGAAGGACATCTTAGGAACACATGGTCCATAGTTTCGTCCTCCTCCTTGCAGGCTTGACAGGACAGATCTGGGTTGTCTGTTGGCGCAATTTTGAGGAGATATGATCTCAGCTTGGGCGATTTTCCAGGTTTCACCTCTCTCTTCCACTTTGTGCGGGTCGATCGGTGGATGGCGGCTTTAGCTGTAGAGAAATCGATAGGCGTGTCAATCTGGGTAAGCGTTGTTGCTTCTTTGGCGATGCTGTCAACTTCCTCGTTCCCAGCCAGTCCAGTGTGGCCTGGAATCCACTTTAAGTGGATTGAACATTCGGAGCTTTGACAGAGGGTGTGCAGAAGCTGCCAGATTGAGCCCGCCACCTTTTCCGATCGGTTGGTAAGGCCGTATGAGAGGCGCATGACTGCTGACCTGGAATCAGAGTATACATGGATGTGTACACTGTTCGGAAGGCTGCCTTCTGGATGTAGAGCCACAAGCATGTCCAGCGCTGTGTCGAGAGCTACAAGCTCGGCACTGTAGCAGGAACAATACCGGCCCGCGGGTACACGTTGGTCAAGTTCGGTATCACCGGTCACTAGCTATAACAACAGTGGGGGGTCTTGTCCCCCTGAAAACAATAATAATTTTAAAATGGAGTGTCTACGTACAAGGTAACCGGGCACGTAGTCTCAGTATCTACGTACACGGTAACCGGGTGCTTAGTTTCGGGGGCCCCTTGAGCTAGGTGCACGGTAAATGCTTTGCTCCCTTCATGACCTTGACTTTTTTCATTTCTTCCCTGCTTTCCAGTCGTATTTTTATTTGTATCCAGGTTCACGTAAAACTTTGAACCAAAATAATGGAACACATGCGTCTTGTTTCCTCAGACAACAGTGAACCCAAATAATGCAACACACTCAAGGCATTCCTCCCCCC